TTTAAAGAGAAAAACTTAAAGAAAACTCTTTTATTCTAATTTTTCTTTCTTGAAGGTGAAACAAAAGGTCTATTCTTAAAAGGTATGTCTAGGCCCTCAAAGCATGAGAAATAAAAAAGCTGAATTCAAATGGGTGTGTAAAAGCTTCCTCCCTCTCTTTCCTCTAGGCTACTATGGAGGAGTAAAAGGCTTTTTCTCTGTTGACAATCAATCAGCAAATATTTACAACCTTTCCAACAAGCTTTTCCAACCATTACTAGATCATTAGAGAAGACTTCGAACTCCCTGGCCCCTTAAATGCTTTAGGGACTTAGCTGCAGAAAGATGAAACCGCACAGAGCTAGTAAGCTCCCACTCTGCTCCCATACTTCAACCGCAGGTAGCTTTTAAGAGTCTATTTGTGGTTCTGGACAAATGGGCTGGACTAGAGTGGAAACCCAGAACAGAAGCAACTGAAAAGGGAGATAAGCAATTAGAAAATTCTAGTTATTGTTAGAACGCTACTTAATTATATTAGACCTCTTTTAACCAAAGGGCAAAAAAAAAGGTCAGTAACTATAAAATAAACATTTTTCACTATTTGTGCTTCTTATCTGAATAATTGAAAATGCTCTGAAATTAGTACATTTAGTAATTTGCCTTTATAAATTACCTGTGGGCCGAAATAATACGTGATCTACTTAGAATGCTGGTTTTACTCATTTCCCTGCATATCTCTCAGTAGGGTAGAATGCTGTACTTACTTGCAAGATTGCATTTATTCTTCAGCAGTTCACAAGTTCCAAAACTGAGCTTAAAACCTCACAGAGTGGGGAGAGGGGGTATAGGGGAACTCTCTGTACTAGCTGCTCATTTTTCTGTAAGCTACAAACTATTCTCAAAAATAAAGTCTACTAATTAAAGACAAAACAAGAACCTCACAGGGAATCAGAGTTAAGGTGACAAGTATATCTGAGTAATTTATTTTGTATTCTGATATCCTGGATTCCTCCCCTTTCAAGCAGGTAAAACAAAAGCCACCTACTCCTATCCCAACCTCCCACCCCCCACAAAAAAATCTGCTGGTTCTATTTTGAAAGGAATCTACTAAAGGAGGTGGGAAGAAATAGCTGGAGGCAGAGACTCTGAAACTGTCCTGAGGAGAGCAAGGGGGCAGACCAGCATGGTTCTTAGGGACCTCACTCCTCAGGAGTGGAGCTAAATGGGACTGGCTGACACAGAGGTAACAAGAGAGGAATCTGTACGAAAGACCTTGGCACATTGAGTCCATCTTCCTCCTTGTGGCACAGAAAATGTCCACACCGGCTGGAAGGGAGAGGAAGGCGCTCCGCATGGGCACGTGGGGAGAGCAGCATCTGAACCAGGGCAGGGGGACCGACACATGGCTCTGCGGCCCGTGGCTGGGCCAGACTAGACAGACACGGAGGTGAAGTGTGTAGAAAAGACCGGAGTTCTTAAGACACTCATCCCTCAGGGAATCCCCCTCGTCTGAGCAGAGGGAAGGATGGATTGAGTCGGAAGTTCCCACAGGGCCGGGGCCAGGGGAGCAGAAACATCGATTTGCTACAGTAGGACATCCCAGCTCTCCCCCGTGACTGGTCTGGCCTGAGGGAAATCCCTGTTATGTAACTAACCTCTGAAATGACTCACCGAATCATGCAGTGTTGTTAAAATGCTGCCTCCTTTGTAATAAAAATCCCCATTAATTTTTTTAAAGTGAACTTACTTTCAGAGAGTCAGATGATGCGGCCCATTTCAGAAAGAGTCAGAAATGAAAGGCTCTGCCATGTCGTAGCTTCCCCACTTTCCAATCCTGAAAAGACTCTCCTGGAACATCAAACCAGTTGGACCTAAAATCCTGAGACTCCTGCCTGCACTACACAAGCATTCCACTCCAAGGTCTCCTTTTCAACTGTCTGTAAAATGAGGGTAAGATCTTCCCAGGAGCAGCCACCACATCTGTGCCACCAGTGACACTTTGTCACCAGTATAAACATATACGGAAAGCTGAACTGCATAGGGTAGAGCTTAGGATGTGAGATACCAAAATCTAAACTGGAACCTCAGGTTTTTAGAGTGATTCACATGGACTTCTCAGAAATGTCAGTGAATTCCATTTCCTCAATCCTAAAAAGCCTAAAAGGGTATGTAGCATGGTAATTTCCTATCATGGGTCGGCATGGAGGAAGGAATATCTGGGGGTTTCCACAATTCTTGCACAGTTCAAGGGTGTGGAGATGACATTGGGATTCCCAGCAGCAACCTCAGTAGGGGAGCTTGAGGATGACATTTGGTGCATGTGCAGGATGGCCAGAAACCTTCAAGGTTGCAAGAAGCCATTTCCAGATCCAGATATGGTGGGTGATTGTTATTCTCTATCCTACTTTCCCAGATAAAATTAGGAAAATTTTATGATGATGCTAAAGTTGTAGACCAAACTCCAAGTCCTACTCTTCTCGGAAGTCCCTAATGTGCCTAGGTTTCCAATGGGTCCTGTCCTGGGGCCATTACATGAACCCAGCTCACCCACACAAATGCACAGGAGACACCCGCCAGCCAGAGGCACTCGCCTCTGGGATTTGTCTAGACAATTTCCCTTAAAGAGATTAAGAAATTAGCCCAAGGTCACACAGCCAGGAATTGGCAAAGCGGGGATTCAAATCGAAGTTTCCCGAAACTCAGTCTGTGCGGTGGCGATGGCTTTGTTAACTGTAGCTCTGAGCGCTCCTTTAAAGGAAAAACAACGCTGTCCATTTGCTTTGACAGGCGACCTGGTCCAGGCCAAGAGCACTGGTGTTCAAGAAACTCATGATAAAACACACAAAGACTCTCAGGCCCAGGTGGCTTTTTAAATTTCAAGAGCTGTCATACTTTTATCTGCCAGAATATATCTCCTCTGCCCGTATCTCACACTGTACATGTCGCCAGTGACTAAATAGTACTGAAGTCGGTTAATGTGTGTTCTGTATTCGCTATGTTTACTGCAGTTAGCTGAGTGCCATATGAGATTTAAAGAGTAATAAAACATATTTCCTGTCCTCCAGCAACTCAGATCTAAGGGGCTGGAGGTGGGAGTAAAGATATGGAAAGGAAAGCAAAAAACACAAATGTCTGTTATGCAGGCCAGGGTAAGACAAATGCCGTGAGAGAAAAACCAAGTCCTGTGGCAGCATAGGTATAACCAAAAGGACTTTTCCTGAAGAACCTGAAGCTCTTTGTCATCAAGATAACCCTAAACTCACCTAATAATGACTCCATCAGTTACTGCACCTCAGTAGAAGTTGCCTGAAAAAGTCTTAACTTGCTGTTGCCATAAGCCCCTCCTTCCTCTATTTTTATAACAGAGAAGCAAAATTCTCCACCGTTGTTGTTTTTTACCCCCTGAGCATTCTCAACATGTTAGGGCCCAGCGCGGATCTTCTTGAGAACAGCATAATCGGTAGGAATGCGATCAAGGGCCCTACTCACCAGGAATGTGCACACAATTTACATGGCCAAGTTATGTTGGTTTCGGTGGCATAATCTCAAGTCACGTAGAAGCAGCTTGAAGATTAATGCAGACAAAAAAATTATTCTTTTTTTTTCTCAGATTGTTGCAGCAATATAGTGAGGCCATTCTCTCTGCTGGGCCTGTGTCAGCACTTCCAAGCTAACCCTGTTTTTTCAAGTCTTTCAGACTTGGCTGTGAAACTGCCCTGTGGGTCTATAATTCAGGAGACAGCTTTGTAAGGCATTTTGATTAGATTTTTGCAAGTTTCCCTGTCTGAGCTGTCTCCTCATTACATGATAGGCAAGGAAGGTTGCACAGTTCTTAAGCTGTTGTGTTTCTAAATTGAAATGGAATTATCTGCTTCGCAACCGGGACAGGAATCAATTAAAAATCAATTGCTTTGATCCTTTAGAATTATATAAAAAACACCTTTGAGTTGAATGACCATTTTAGACATGAGATTTAACTTCCTTTTTTATGAAATGTGAAGGTGTTATACATTTTGTCTTACTCTCTCCCTCGTGATTCTTCATGTGATCATTCCCACCTTCAAGTGAGATGTTTCACTATGATGCTTGGTTATTTGGAAGCATCACACAGATTTCTTATTTCTCTTGGTAGTGTCAAGAATTGGGGTGTGTTTGTACAGTTAAAGCAATCAGGGAAGTCCACAGTTGGAGTGTTTTCTTTCAGTCACCTTGCCTATGGTTTCTGCAGGCTGCAGAGAAAGGCAGTTTGGTGACGTGGAAAGTGCAGGAGCTCTGAGTCAGCAGCCCTAGCATTGAACATCAGTGTTACCACTGTGTGACCAAGGGCATGTTATATGAACCCTGGTTTCCTCAATTATTAACCAGCAAAAATAACATTTCCTTTTAAGGGATTCAAGTGGTTAAGATTCCCTCATTTATTTATTTAATAAATATTTGGGGGGCACATACTATGTGCCAATCACATAAGCAGTTTGAACCACAGATACAATCCCTGCCCTAGTGAAACCCACAGTCAGGGAGACAAACTTGAATCCAGTAATGACCCAAATAAAAGTAAAAAGTTAGAGTTATGAAGTGGTAAGGGCCACAAAGGGAAGGCACATGCTGCTTTGAAAGCACCTGGGCCTCATCCAGGTAACCAAGTGAGTGAAATCTGAGGGCTGAGGTAGCGTTAGCTAGGCAGCTGGGGGTACCTGGGAAAGGGGTGTTCTGGGCAGAGGGATCAGCATGGACAAAGGCCCTGCCGCGAGAAGCATGGGCCCAGCCAGGCGAGTGGAAGGGAAAGCGGAGCTAGAGGAAGCAACGGGGTGTTCAGAACAAGGTTTTGCAGATCCCGATGATCCTGTTTATAGCACTTACTTTAACTCTCAAAAGTGTCCCAATGTGAATAATTATATGACCACACTACTCATAGGCCATGCTAATCATTTTGACCTTTTTCTTGAAAGTAGTAAAAAATTTTAAGCACAGGAATAACATAATAGTTTTAGAAAGCCAAGGTGTGGAGAATACATCCCTACCTGAGTCTCTCCAGGGCTACATATTTCAGAGTAGTCTCACATGGAACCCTAGCCTGAAAAAGAAAATATTGTCAATTTATCAAGATATAATACAAATAACTTCACAAATATGCTTCTAATCAAGTTTTAATAACCAACTTTAAGGTATATTCAGTGCCATATTAATCAGGATTCTCCTAAAGAGTGTGTGTGTGTGTGTGTGTGTGTGTGTGTGTGTGTGTGTGTGTGTGTGTTGGAGACCCAGGGAAGAGTTGCATTCAAGTCCAAAGGCAATCTGTTGGTAGAATTTCCTCTTCTTTGGGTGAGGTCAGTTTTGTTCTGTTTTTTAAGGACTTCAACTGATTGAATGAGGCCCACCCACATTATAGAGAAAGGGTGGGGAACCTTTTCTCTGCCAAGGGCAATTTGGATATTATAACATCATTTGCAGGCCATACGAAATTATCAACTTAAAAATTACCTATAAAAAAAGCTCCTAGATTTATTGAATTTCAAGTCCTGCCTGCAGTTGCCTTCGCAGGGCCAGACCAAATGATTTTGGCCACCGGGCCAAATGTTCCCCACTCCTGTTATAGAGGGCATTCTGCTTTACTTAACACGTACAGAATTAAATGTTGATCTCATCTAAAAAAACACACCTTCACAGAAACATCTAGAATAATGTTTGAGCAAATATCTGGGTACTGTGGCCTAAGTAAATTGACATAAAAAATTACCCATCACAAATACCTATTGGTACAGGTGAGTGAAAAAATGAATAATGAATGAATGAATGAATGAATGAATGAATGAATGAATGAATGAATGAATGGGTTGTAGACAGCATATCGCCTAATCCCAATATCCTTGGGGTCTACTCCTAAGTGAATTAACTCCCAGAGATTCTCATGGCACCTCCATTGCCAGGACAGCAGCTCAATCAAGACATTTTCTGAACAGACAAAGCAGTCTCGAAGCAACACAACCGGGCTTTGTGTTCCCGGGATTCCCACCTGCCACAGGCCCCACAGGTCCCACATTCCAGGGTGGGGTGGTGAGATGTTCCAGGAAGAGGAGTGGCTGAGGGGCCTTCCCCCTTGAGAGCGCCCCACTTGGAAGAATAAGGCGAGAACTGTTTAGCTTGTCAAGAAAATTCCCTGAGGGAGACATTAACTTTCAAACTTCCCAATTTCAACAAGGAAGTTATAAAGGCCGACATCTAAGAGCTGAAACTCTTCCCCCACATTCTCGTTTTATAAAAAAAGGGGGGAAAAAGGACTTCCCACAAAAGTAGCTTCCCTATGATCCTTTTGTGCTTATGTGAAGACAGAGGAGCTGTGTGCTGTAGTTTAACCAATCTGGCTGCATTTGTGATATCAAGTCATAATTTCCTCACGGCTTTATAGCTAACTTTTTAATTCACAAAACCCCTCCCAATGCTCATGAAGAAAAAAATGGTTCTCTGTCCCTATATCCCCACACGCAAGCGGATAAGCAAGAGGAAAAAAGTCAGAATTCAGAGGGTACAGGAACTTTCTGAAGACATTCAATCTAATACCACACCCATTTTTTGTTTTGTTTTTTCTTTGTTGTTTTTTTATAACCCAAAGGGGGAAAGCATATTTAATAAAGGGAAGAGAAAGTTTTTAATGGCAAGAATCATTATGCAGACTAGTTGATTTTTAGCTTCAATATAGACACAGAGCAAGAGACAATGAGCTTAGACTTAGCTTAAGTGGTTGGAGTTACACAGATCTATGTGATTCTGAGTGAACTACCAACCAAAAGGGGTGTCTGAGAGAGACCGTGGGTTCTGCTTCCTAAAAAGGTTAGTCATAACAGACCAGGATTTTCCACACCGGTAATATCTGGACACACAGGTGTATGAAACATCTTATCAGTGTGTCTCTGCAAGGATTTTTGCCTCACATACTGAAGAAGCCAGTTGCCCCAGGCCTGTAACTGTCCTGAGGCCCAAACTTTTGCCTTCTTTCTATTACCATCTCAGTTCAAAACACACCCAGGACCTTGGAGAAACAAGTGGTTTGGATTGCCTGCTCTGAGGTGTACCCCTGCCCCAATAGCCGGCATCACTAGTGTTAATTAGATTTCCTTTCTAAAGTGTAGACAATACACAAAGTGTAAACAAAAAGACTCATCTGTGTTGACACACACCATACCCCTATACATGCCAACTGAAAAATATATAGAAATGGCAAACTTTTCTCTCTATGTGTAAAAACATACATTTTCTTTTTCCAAACAAAGGAAAAAATTGCTCTTGTTTAGAGCTATGATATTTCTACCAGATTAGCCAGTTATTTAAAAGCAGAGACAACCTAAAATTTAAAGAGTCTTCATCAAAAAATGCCCACTTTAATTCAGGAACTAGCTAATTCCAACTTGGTCCACTGTAGATAGTAAATCTGTCTTCTTCTCTAGAGAGAGAACTGAGCAGAAACAAACAAACAAACAAAAAACTACTGATCATATGTAAGGGAATGCAAAGGCAGGAGATGTAGGAAAGGGAGGTAAGCTGTTTATGTGACCACCTTTTTCGTCCTATGATTTATCACACGAAAAGTAAGTCAAAGGACAAAATGTTTCGTCCACCCCTTCAATTCATCAATGTGGCTCTTGTTTTCTTAATTAAGCACCTCCAATCAAGTTTTATCTATGACTGTTAGCTCTCATCCTCATAGCCTTCTCACGTTGTAGAAGCAACCTGGCCACTTTAGAAATGTATAAATTCAACATAGAACCATTAAGTGTGACATGGACCACATCTTCCTAGGATGATGTAATGTTGCTCTGCCTGAAGTTAGGGTAAGATGCTCGAACCATAAATATTCCGTCAAGGTCCTCACCTGTGTACAGTTTAAACTGAGATTAAATGATATTTCCAAATCCAGGCATATTTTTTTAACTTTTACACTTATTTGTAAGGATTTAGAAAGATTAATTACCTTGTAGGTATGAGAGAACGGACATTTTTTTCCTGCCATAGAAGGTCTGATTTTTGCTTTTGACATGATGGATCAGGATTCAATGCTAAGTCCAGGTTCCTAGGGAGAGAGACTGTTATCTGAATGGTGTCCCCACCAAAATTTATTTGTTGAAGCCCCAACCCAAAACCGACTGTATTAGGTAGACATGGCTTTAAGGGAGTAATAAAGGTTAACTGAGGCCATAGGGTGAGGCCCTAATCCTATAGAGTTGGTGTCCTCATGCAAAGAAGAACACAACAGATATATCGCTCTCTCTGCGTGCCTATAAAGAAGAGGTCATGTGAGCACACGGCAAAGGCGGCCACCTACAAGCCAGGAGAGGAGACCTCAGAAAGAAACCTATCTGGCCAGCACCTGGATGTTGGAATTTCCAGCCTCCAGAACGCTGAGAAATAATTTCTACTGTTTAAGTCACCCAGTCTGCTCAATTTTGTTAGGGCAGCCCTAGCAGACTAAGTTCCAGACTGAGAGGAGCAAGAGATGGGCCAGGCCTGGGAGCCGGTAAGCGAGTGGGACAGCCAGAGGATCCCAGGGCGAGGAGGCGCGGAGGCCCCGCGCGTCCCGAAGGCTGGCCGCAGCTGCGCGAGCTCCCGCGCCAGCGGGTCGCGGGTCCCAGCGCGGTGGCTTCCCACAGGGCGGGATCGGAATCTGCGCTCTCCAGCTGTGTGGCCTTGGGCCACTTCTTCTGAGCTTCAGTTTTCTCACCTGTGCGGTGAGGATAAAGACAGTAACTACTCTGTGTGAAGAATAAATAACATATACAGGTAAAGAGCTCAGCGCAGTACCTGCCTCCTAGGAAGCACGTACTAAAATTATCCAAAGCAAGAAAGAGAGTGGGTGGGCCAAGATCGCCACTTTCCGGAGGACAGAGGCGGAGCACAGCGCAAAGTGACGATTCAAAATGGGGACCTAGGCCCGGCCGGGCGAGGCTCAGCGGTTGAGCGTCGACCTAGGATCCAGGCGATCAGGGTTCGATTCCCGGTCAGGGCACATGCCAGGGTTGCGGGCTCCATCCCCAGTTGGGGGCATGCAGGAGGCAGCCGATCAATGACCCATCATTGATGTTTCTATCTCTCTCTCTCCCTCTTCTTTCCTCTCTCTGAAATCAATAAAGATATATTTAATAAAAAAATTAAAAAAGTGGGGACCTAGGAACACCATCTCCAAAGATAGAACAACTACCGGGAATCACAATGCTATAAAGTGTGGCTCTTGGACCCAGGTCAGGGGCTGGCTGCTTGCTTCTGTTCCCAGCTTGGCTGAGGTGGAAAGATGTACATACATGTCATTGTTCTGGCAGAAAACAGATGGCCCACTCAAGGAGTGCGAGAGCCAGAGTAATTATGGTTAAGGAATGTCGACAAAGGATGGTAAATCATCCCTGGGCTAGCAAGGGAAGGACAGCACCAGAAATCTAGGCCTGAAGGGCAAGGGGAAAGAGTTGCTGGAGCCCAGTGAGACCTGCTCTGTAGGAAAGAGACCCAACAGGAGCATTGGCCTTTTCTAAAAGTACACAGCCCTAAAAACCTGAGGCCTGGCAGGAAGGACTGTGGAGAATAGGAGATTGATCTTGCTTTCCTGCTGCCTCCTGACTTCTTGCCAGTCCCTCCCATCAGTCAAACCCAAACAGAAGCCAGAGGAAAGGGAGCCCAGTTGATTCAGTCCATATGCATCAGCTTCATAAGGCTCAGAGTGGAGAAGAGTCGGGTGTCAATCTTTGGGGGCTCCTAAAATATACAAGGCAAAGAAAAATGGACCACAGGGGTATACTGTCCCTCAGAATAAGATGGAGGTCTGGGGGCATTGTTCTTAGAGTTGAGATTAGGTGTCTTTGCAGCCCTCCTCAGTCTAACTACAGACTCATCAGACAGAAAGGAGCTAAGAAACCCTTCTGTCTCCTCAGGGACACAAACACCCCTCCCCAGCTCCTTCAATCAACACACATCTCCTCTGATTATAGACTAGTGTGTTTCAGGATGTTTAGTGCCTGGTTTCTGCCTGGGGAGGCTGCCCTTTTCTCCTTCAGCTCTCTGAAAACTTAAATTTATTTCTAGAAATTCTATTTC